CACAGCGTTGCAGCATGAGAGAGAGAAAAGACTCCATGTCTTCTCTGTTCTTAGAGAGTGAGAAGAAAAGTCAGTGGAAACCAGGTGTTTTTCTTTCCCTGTTCTAAAGACTTACAGTTCCTCAGCTTCCTTAGGGCTGAGCGCCCTCTGCTGGCCGAGAGCTCCTCTGCAGGGAGGTTTTGTCTGGGCTCATGCTGAAGTCCCCTCACTGTGTGTCTTGCACAGTAATATGTGGCTGTGTCCTCAGTGGTCACAGAGTTCAGCTGCAGGAAGAACTGGTTCTTGGCTGTGTCTCTGGTGATGGAGATGCGGCTCTTGAGGGATGGGTTGTAGTCAGTGCCACCACCATAAGTTATGCCCCCCATCCACTCCAGCTTCTTCCCTGGGGACTGCCTGATCCAGTGCCACTGGTGGTGATGGAGAAACCAGTGACAGAGCAAGTGAGGGACAGTGACTGTGAGGGCTTCACCAGGCCAGGTCCTGACTCCTGAAGCTGGATCTGGGACAGGACACCTGCAGACAGGAAGAGTCAATTCTGTCCATCACATGTCGTCACATCCCCTCATGGACACATGTATGAAATGGTCACACTAAAAAAGAAGGGCTGTCACCAGGTACAGAAGAACCAACAATCTCATCTTCTAGGCTACACCCCCTTTTCTCAGAGGTCAGCCTCCTGGGAGAGAGATGTGAGTTCCCACAGCTCAGGAGGGGATTTAACTTAGAGCTAGAAGATGAATTTGCATGTGGGGAGTCAGCCTTGTCTTTATATGAGGAAGGTGGATACCACTCCATTCCCTTATTACAATATGGCCATCATTGCCTCTGACTTCCTACAGTGTGAGTCTGGAAGAGAGAGCATGGTGACTACAGGGATCACAGGAAACACATCTTGGCAGGACCCCACCTCCACTCCCTAGCCCAACCTCTCACCAAATTGTTCTCCTGATTTTTTTTGAGTTTCTTATGCATTTATTCCTTAACATTTTATATATTTATTTTTCATTAATTTATTTATTTTTTACATTCCAACCCCAGGTCCCCCTCTCTCTTAACATCATGGTCCTCCACGGCCCCCCATCTCCCATCTTCTCCTAGAGCGGGTAAAGACTCCCATTGGAATTCTAATAATTTTTCCAATCATCTTGTTGAGGCAGGACCTCGGCACCTCCCCACCACCCCATATGTCTGTGTCTAGACCACACAAGGTACCTCTCCATATCTAATGGGTTCCATGACGTCAGTGCATTAGAGTTAGATCTTGAACCCACGCCTGTGGCCTCATATATTGTCCCAGCTGGACCTTTATCACCTATATTAAGGGAGTCTAGATGGATCTCATACAGGTTTTCCATTTGTCAGACCAGAGTCAGTAATCTCTCACTAGCTTGGGTCTGTTGATTCTGTAGATTTCCCCACCATGGTCTTGATTCCTCTGTTTGTAATTTGGGTCTACCCTCACTTTGATTGTACTCCAGGAGCTCAGCCCAATGTTTGGTGGGGGTTTCTGCATCTACTTTCATCTGTTTCTGGAAGAGGGTTCTAACTTCTCTGGGGTTGTGGATTGTAGGCTGTGTATCTTTTGCTTTATGTCTGGTATCCACTTATGACTAAGTACATACTGTATTTGTCTTTCATGGTATGGGTTACCACACTCAGGATGTGTTTTTCTAGTTCTGTCCGTTTTCCTTAGTTGTTTCTGACAGCTGAGTAGTATTCCATTATGTAAATTTACCACATTTAGTTTGTCCATTCTTTGGTTGAGAGGCATCCAGTTTGTTTCCAAGTTCTGGATTTTATAAATAATTCTGCTAGGAATGTAGTTACTGCTCCTGTATTTTTAAGGTGTCACGTCACTGCTAACCATTTTTTCACACTGGGGTTACTGAGTTTTTCATTTCTGATTAGGAAGTCCACACTGCTCATGTTTTTCTTCCCTTTTCCACCCATGTGATGTGATTCCGTATATCCCAGAAAGTCAGCTCGCTGTCATCTTGTTGTAGCACAGGGTCCACATCCACTGTTTGCTCCATCAGGCTGTGGAATGTAGAGGAAACACCAGCTGATAGAAGCAGCTGCATCCACACTCCCTTCTCCTGACTCAACTCACAAGGCTTCCCCATCCTCACACACCAACTTACAGTTTTCTTTTTTTTACTAACAAGCATTTAGTGAATAAAATACAATAAAGTACAATGAAGTCAAAGAAAAACTAACACGTTGGAACCAGAAAAAACAAACAAATATAATCTGAAGGAAAAGAGCCCAAGAAAAGTCACAAGACACAGGTGTGGATGAAGAGATGACCTGAATCCCATAAAAACACAAAATTAGAAGCTGTAGTACATAGTCAAAGAAAATGCGGGATAAAATAATAAATAAATAAATAAATAAATAAATAAATGTCAATAAAACTATGTGATATTATGAGACAGGGAAACTCCCAAATGCATTTGAATGGGTTCCCGATGACATCAGGAGATGGACCCCAGCCATTGCATAGTGTGTTTCCTTACCTCAGTTAGACTCCCTTAGAGGAATCTCATTTTTCATTTGAATATATTATAATTGGAGACAGGTTCTGCTTACATGTAAACTTCTCCTTCCTGCTCTAGAATCCCATATGCTGTTGACCATGCAGGTCCAGTGTTCCAACAGAGAAATGTATTCCACTATGAGATAAAATGTCTTCATGATGATGGTGAGAGTCTTTGAACTGGGTCATTTCTGTTATTGTAGAATTCCCAGTAGAGCGACACAGATACTAGGAACTAACTGATCTTGTCTTTCTAAGGAAGGGTTCTAACTGCCATAGATGATCTCCCGGGCCTTGTATGTGGTTAACTGAGGAATAAACTCTGTGTAGAGTCAGGAAAAATCTTTGCTGGCCTCTCTGGAACCGTTCCTCAGGCTCTCCATGAATAATTTATTTAGGTTTTCTTTTTGGCTGTCTCATGCATGAATATTTAACAATGTTAGTGATCATACACTAAACATCAGACTCTGTCCCGCTGTGTTCATTTGACAGAACATAGTCTCCAATAGATTAAACTCATTCCCATGTTGGATTGCTCTGAAATGTTCATGGACGGATTTATAATGTCTCCAAATGACGCACAGGTAAGGAAGGTTGTCCTAGGAATCTTCTGTGACTGTGAGGCATCAGGGAAGCCACCATGTGGAGTTCTGTAGAGGATGAAACCTATGCAGCTCCTTGAGAAATCCATTCTGTCCCCATAGAAGTCAGCCCTAGGAACCTTGCATGAGTCCAGCTAGCTCATATCTAACAGCAACCCAACATTCATGTTAATTTTAATCTTTCTGGTGACTGTTTCCTAGAATTCACAGATAAAGGAACTCTTCTTTCCTTTCTGTCCTGACTCTGTGGTTTATATTAGAACAAGACTGTTAATGATGGTGCTGACATTTTACTTTGCAAAGACTGGAGAAGGAGGGCACTATGGCTTGGAGGACAAGGAGATTCTGTCCACCTTTACCTGGTGCAGGAGACACCTCCTGAGTATCATGTGATCTGCTGGAATAGTTCCAGAGGATAAAGATGAATATTGATGAACTTTGAGAAGAAATTCTAGGAGGAAAATAAATACACGGACGGAAAACAGACAACCAAATCAACTCTCAAACTGAGAGTGCTCATGTTTGTGCAAGGAGCCAGGTCACATGGAAAAAGAAAGTGAATTTGCTAGCAACAAATTCACTTGTTTGGTTTTGACAGCTTGTTGACTTTATAGGAGTTAAAAAAAATTAAAAGCCAGAGAATCCCACTTTGAAATTGTTTTTGTTATTGTTGCCTTAATATAGTCAGATTGTTGCCATGATATCAAGACAGAATTATTTGTGTTCCTATATTCAGTGTTTGTAAAGTCAAGGTTTATGTGCATTCTCCTAGGTAAAAACAAAACAAAAGCAAAAAGCATTTGTAGACAGAAATGATTGGATTCAGACATGTCAGAGTTACAATAAAGCAAAGATCAAGAGATGTCTTAAGTGGTCCTTGTTGCCTCGTAGAATAGAAATACTGTGTGTGGGAGAGGTAATGTGCACCATGCAAGCATGGCCAATAGATGTCAATCAATTTCAATCTATACCCTGTGTCAAAGACTATCCATTTTCATGAATCAGGGGAGTGATTATCCTGGACTCCTGATAACGTGAACTCATCTCTTACATTGTCAGCTTGGAATCCCACAACTCTGGCCCAGGTGTCATCTGAGCAGGAGCTCAAAGTGGCAAATGCCACACCCTGAGGACTCCACAGGATTACAATCATCTCCTTCTGTAATACTAAAACAATAAGAAATTTGATTATTACTACCAAAAACATTTCAATTAGACTTACTTATAAGTAAATGTCCAAAATTAGATTAATGATGAAAGGTAACATGACTCCCAAAAACCTATGGGAACAACTTCAAACAATGTTCTTAGTGTGACAATAGATATAGCAAACTTGGCTTTGAAAAGGGGTTTTTATTTGCCCAGATATTGTTGATCTGCATTTTACTGTACAAATTCACATAGTAGTTTATTCCCAGCTACAAAAACAAAAGTTCCATCATTACAAGGATGAAATTTCCAACATTCATTGTGTAAAAATGTGAATTATCTGCACCACATTAGAGCACTAACACATGGGGAGCTGGGAAAAAAGTACACGTCCTGTTTCCCATCTTTGTGGGGTAATAAAATTCATTCATTGAAGTACTCCATTCCACCCCTCATGATGGGAAACAAATACAAAATTGTTTAGATTATGTAAATTTCTCTGTGATTTCCAGAACCTATCATCATCATGTCTGAAAATTAGAGACTTGAGAAGAAAAACATGGAGAGTTTAATTTTATGTGTATTTGACATAACAGCAAGTGGCAGATGGGTATCTTAGTTGCTGCATGGGGTCATAATGATATGCTTATTACAAAATAAGCAAATATTAATTGTCACAAATACGATGTAGCAAAGGGTCCATAGGATGTTTATTAAACAGCATGGGAAACCAAATATTCTAAAATGAAATTGAAATAGGCTTGTTTGTCTGGAAACTCAGGGACACACACATATTTAATAAGAACATCAAGGTTTTGTGAGTAGTAATAAATGGCCGTGTCCTCAGTACTCAGGTTGTTCATTTTCAGGTAGGCCATGCTTTGGGAATCATCTCTGGAGATGGTGAATCTGCCTTTCACCGAATCCACACAATCGGTTGCATGATTATTAGGTTTAGTTCTTATGGTAGCGACCAACTCCAGCCGCTTTCCTGGAGCCTGGCGGATCCAGCTCATGGCAGAGTCAGTGTAGGTGAATCCAGAGGCTGCACAGGAGAGTTTCAGTGACTCTGCAGGCTTCACCAATCCTCCACCAGACTCAACCAGCTGCACCTCACAGTGCCCACCTGCAAACAGAGAGGAGACTGATGAAGAAACTGTCACAAAGTCTACTGTCTCTCTCACTCATGTCTCCTCACACACTCAGCATCCCGTGTTATCTACCTTTTAAAAGAGCAACAAAGAAAACCCAGTACAGCCCCAACCCCATGTTGATTGTCATGTTTTCAGTGCTGCTCACTGAATTGGAAGACAGGGCTAGAGTCCTCTGCCTGACCTGCAGGGTGAGGGCAGGGCAGGTTTTAATGAGCAGAGGGAGGCCATATTTGCATATCTTCCTGGTATATATTATTCTCTGATGTGTGTGGGCCTTAGAGGCAGCAGGTGAAAGGCCCGCTGCCTCTCTGTCTTCCCCTGCCTATGCTGGTGCTGGGGGC